GTCAAGAACCATTACTATTCACCAAGTCAAGAACCATTACTATTCACCAAGTCAAGAACCATTACTATTCACCAAGTCAAGTCAACAGAACGGTACAGTTCCTATATGGGCTGTGCATCAATCGGTCACATGGCTTAAATTAAAGCTGATAAATTGTAGATGTCGTGATATGTAAAATATGTATTTACCCAAAAAATAAATCTGTACGCAGTCTGGGAACTTTTCATTATAGGTATTTGGTAATGAATTTACTGTAGAAGCCCCTTATGTCAACTAAAACTAAATGACACACGTTATGTTATAGTATTGAGATTCAATACGAAATCTAAAACAATGTCACTTACATAAAGAAACTGAAGAATGTAATTATTCATGTGTGTCTAATTCTGTATTTGTTTCCTGGTTCTTGATTCACACCGAAGTGACTGAAGACAAATTCTTACACTTGGTCATAAAATAAATGCGGTCAGCCCCTCCACCACTTAGGAAGCTTACGATTGTATGAGTTTTTTTACTATAAAATCATAAACTAAAGGACATAATGTTGGTATCAGTAATATAGATCTACACAGTTCAGCCTAGTAGTAGTAAAGGTAATTTTACTGTTGTCCTAACATGACAAAAATATAAATAAATTATAATTTGTTGGAACAGCAAATTAGTCTTTCAGTGGATTTACCCAACAAAAGGTTGTCAAAATCAAGCTACCAAACTGACCTACTTCCTGCATCTCCACCATTTTTTAAATTAAATATATTTTAATAACCTGTGAAATGTAATAACCTTTGATCTTGTTGTCACAGTGTTGACAATTTATGGCAAAGCATTGCACCATTTTTTGATATTCCTTGTGTGACWGTCTGCTGCATGTCATTTTTATGACCATCCATGGATGTTCCCCAGTCCTGACTCAGTGCAGACCAATGCACATGTAAAAAAAAAAATACTAAGAATATTCGGATTCTATAGTTAGGGTGTAGTTTAATGTGTTTAGCATTTAATTTAGTCAGTTTTAGTGTGCTTGAATCAAAGTAATAAGGTAATTTCTGAACATGGAGCTGCAGCTGTACAAGATGAAAGATGGTGACATGGACGTAACGATGGACCAAGCCACAGATGGAGAAAAAATAAATAAAACTGAGGAAGTAGGCAAAGCACTAGTTGTTTTAGAAGAGGAACGAGGAGGGCCAGTCTGTCCTGCGAAGACCTATTCGCAGTAATCGCAAAGTGCCAAATATAAACCAGTAATAGTTTTTCTGACCACACAAACAACAGTACAATGTTGCCCAACCTTATACCAAACCTGTTAATAAACCAGTCGTAACATTGATCTTTTTACACATACTAATGCACATGCATCAACTCAAGCACCCTGCATCCCATTACACTCATAGCTACTCTTGGACGTCAACGTCAGAATGAATATTTGTAGTACTTATGAACATAGTATCATGCTACATTAGTGTTACTATTTGATATATTTAGCAGTTCAAGGACCATCATCTTACCTGCCGATCTGACACTCCTGTGGTGACAACACAGGTGAAGCAAGGCCAACACGACCAAACAAACATTTTTTAATAAGTTTTTTTTCCTGATGTTTCAATTTGGAACACAAACCGTTGATAAAAGTAAAGGCAAAGATGAAACATCACACTTCAGAGTCATTTCTAATGTTTTTTGTTGGATAAGCAGGCCATAGTCAGTTATAACAAATCTACACAAATGACATAACATGTTTTGATGTCATATAATCGGAGGTAGACATATCTAGACTACAATGCATTGCAAAATATCACCTTTGACTATGTGCATTAGTACAGGTAAAAAGGTCAATGACTCAGTAAAATAAATTAATAAACCAGAATATAAACTATTTTTAAAAAAAAGAGTAAAGATCCCAGTAGAAAGGTCATTTCACTGTATGATAAAATAGTTCCACAATAAACTTTTTGATAATATTATAATTAAACCATTATTAAACATTTAGACTTTAAAATCAAAACCAGACAATGAGAGTAATAAACCCAACTAGGAACTTAATAAAAATAATTAAGTCAGATATTAAACCAGTTAAACAAGAAATAATCTGGATAATAAATCTGTTACTAAACCAGGGAGTAACTCTGATTTTACACATGTTCAGATATCTGATGAACTTGTTAGTAACTAGATCAAACCTGGTATTAAATCCAGTCAAATAAAAATGATAAAAAACCTGGTAACATGGTAATAAACACCCTAATAAAACATTAAACTAGTAATTAACTGGTGAATAAACTAAACAAAAAATAGGTAAAATGGTTAATTAACTTGTTAAATTATTAATACTCTGAAAAATAAACTTGATACTCAACCAGGTAGTAAATCCTTTTAAAAGATCAGTTAATAAATCTCATAAACCACTTACATTTTATTTGAATAAAGACCAATTAATAAAAGTAAATAAATGTTTTACGTAATAATCCAGATAAGTCAGGTCAAAGTTAATCTGCTACATGATCCATTTCCATCTTGTAACTCTAGGATTGGGCGGTATTGATCATTTTCACAATGCGATGAAGTCTTTAGAAATACAGTGGTATACTTATGACTGCAGGTGGGGGTCCGCACCGTGTTGAGTAATTATAATCACCAGAAAAATGGCTGCTTGTCAGTTTTTACATGTGTAGAGCCAGAGAGGAGTGGAGAAACTGCTGCTCAGGTAGCTGTCAGTCAGGAGGCACAGCATGGCTTTGTCTCTTTACACAATAGAATAGAATAGAAACAGCCTTTACTGTCCCGCACGGGGAAACTCAGGTTCATTATAACAATTCATTGTAGCCGTGTTTCCAATTTTTATTAGAATTTTGAGCTAATTTTTTAATTTCACAAAAAGGAAAAAATAAATGAAGAAATGCGAATCAGACCTTTCTCCATCAACTGGCTTGAAGCGAATCAATTACATCAGACACGTGTGGTAAACAGGAAGTAAAAGGTTCATCTCAGGATAACAGAGAGAAGTTCTCAGGAACGTGTTGCTGCTGTCAGGAAAGTTGTATTTTTTCTGTCATATCAACTAGTTCTGGTGATGTTACTGCTGTCTGGAGACGTAGAGAAAGAAATGTGATTCTCTTCACGTTACAGGAATAACTGAGAATACATCGACAGCAGGAGGAGAGTCCAGGTGCAGTCGCTCTGGTACCAGAACCAGTTTTAGACAGACAGAGAGAACAGCGGATCAACATGTGAGGTAAATGTTCGCTACATCAGAACTTATTCAATAAATGTGTTTCCATCTCTCCTTTTTGTTCATTAACTCTTTTTGGAAAGAAACCAAAAACCACCTGAAGCGAGCGTATCAACTTTTCTGCAAATTAGAGGAAGTTTTTTTAATCGTGCCGTTTCCATTCACCTTTCTGATGCGATACTTTAAAATGTGCATTAAAAACATTGATGGAAACAGGGCTCATGTTGATCAGATCCAAAGAAGTCCAACTACATCTTTTTAGGGTTTTAAGTTAGAAAATAATGGGACTGTTAACATGGTCGTATCAAAGCTGCTGCATGCTTTTAGTGAGGAGCCTTGTGCTGATAAAGGCTGCTGAAGTCATGTCCTCATCTGCAGCCAGGCTAGTTTAATTAAAAATTACCCAAAGTTTAAATGTGAAAGGAGTGAAACCCTGGGCTGGGTGGTCCCTGAAGCTGTCAGTCAGCAGTGGTCCGTCTCTCCAGGAGCTGGAGACACAACGTGTCTGTCACTACCTCACTGAATTATCAGTGTGAACACCTGACAGCCTTCACACTGTTCACATCTTCTATTCTTCCCTTGGTTTGTTGGCTCTCTCTCTTTCCACAGTTTTTATGATATTTCAACCATTCATATATGACAACACTGACTTTTCATATTTCTGCTACTTATACTTTTTTTTTTTTAGTTATTTCCCTTTTTTTTGCCACTGAAAATGAATGGGGCTATTTTCAATATCCTTCAAAATGTTTCTAAATATTTACAGCACCTTACACAGTTTGTTCTGCTTATGCTGCGTTCACACCAAACGTGATTTCAGCTTCAAAATCACAGCCAACGCTGAAGTTGGACACTTGTGCACTTTGAGGTCAGACGCAGGTCAGCTCTTGAAGCGCTGCACGGCAGAGCCTCCCCGCCCCTCCCTCCTCTGTCGGGCTC